TCAGGACCTGACGTCACACACACACACACACACACACACACACACACACACACACACACACACACACACCGTCAGACTCACAGCTATCACCTTCACAAGAATGTGATGATCTAACTCTTATAACTAAGAACATATGTTACTTGTAAATGCACAAACTTGTTAAACCAAAGAGTTAAGGGGGAACTGGTTGAAATCTGAGTGAGAATGAAAGAGCTGAACTTTTCATCTGAAAGCAGGATGCGGTCTGCTCTCTTTTCAGCTGTTTTCCGTCTTTGGTTTTGTAAATGTGAAGATTAAACAGCGTTTGGTCACACTGTACTAACGTACACTAGCAGTCAAACGTTTGGACACACCTATTCGTTCTATGTTATTAGCGTTTTTCACATTGTAGCACAATCTATCTATCTCTCTGTGTGTGTGTGTGTGTGTGTGTATATTATATTTTAGTTTTGTCAAGAAATTCATGCATAGGCTGACATAACTTACGGTATATGAGTCTAAAAACTATTTTCAGTGAAAAGCTTTTAGATCGAAAAGTATTTAAGATAATGAGAAACACATTCAGGCAGTCAGGTGTGTCATTCTGCCCACAAACTGTCAACTTTTGTGGTCACATAAGCAACATTACTTTTACATGCAGTTTGTCTGTTTTTTTTGTAAAACGCCAGAGTTTGTATTGTTTGTTGTTTTGCAGAGTTATGTGATGAGAATTTCTGCCCATCCAAATGTGATTAAATACACATAATGATGCTAAAGTGTTCAAAAGTTTGGGGTCAGTAAGATTCTATATTACTTTAAATAAATTTATATTTTTATTCAACAAGGATGCAATAAATTGATCAAGAGAGAGAGAGAGTAACTACATTTATAATGTTACAAAAGATTTCTATTTCAAATAACTTTCTATGAAAACCTTAACTAAACAAACTACTTTTTAAAATCTATTATTTTTAATTGTAATTCATTATATTTTACAATGTTACTATATTTTCTGTTTTTTTTATCAAATTAATGCAGCCTTGGTGAGCATAAGAGACTTTCAGAAAAATTAAAAAAAATCTTACCGACCCCTAACTTTTGAATGGTAGTGTACAAATATGTAATTAATCATAGTAATATGTGCAACAAGATCACTGGAATTAAAAAGTATTACAGAACATTTCAATAAAATGAAATATTTAATATTGTAGTACGTTTTCACTGAGCCTTTTTGTGAAGACATGTCCAAACTCAGTTACATTTACACAAGACACTGGACTGTGAACTTCTGTCACGATGCACACACACGAGGAACGAGGAGACGCTGGAGAATACTTTACCAAGACTTTATTTTCAGGAACCAAGGGAGACGAACTCAGGAAGACGTTTAACAGCGGACAGAGAACTTGGGACTGGGAACACCATTTATACACACAGGAGGAGGGGATGACGAGACACACCTGGGAGCAAATGAAACAATCAAGGGAAACACCTGGGACAAATTAAACATGGGAAAGGAAGGCACATGAGGAAAACAACCACAAAACACGGAACAGAGTCTGACAACTACGTAGTGTGTGATGAATTGTTTGATATGTCGCAATCATCCACCCTAAGTGTTATTTAAACACCTATTATCCTGTAAGCGTCTTCAACGTCAAATATTAACTGCTAATATTTGTGTTGTAGAGGTCAGATTACTGTGTGTGGACTGTGAGTGTGGGTGTATTTTTCACGCTACATAATACACCTTCTATTTCTGTTACACTCTGCAGTAGTAAGTTCACTGAGGTGAGACAGAGAAAAGGAAAGATGTGTAGAGAAGATGTCACATTCGTCCTTGAGAAAGCAAAGAAAAAGACGTTTGTGTGCGTGCGTATTTGTGACGCTTCTTTTGTTCTGTGTGATATCGCTCCAAACAGTTCCCCCTCCTTTCCCACTGCACTAAATAATGTGAAGTTTGTCCCTCTGCAGTGGACACACACGCTTTCAAAAGGCCTTGCCTTAAATATTTACGGTTTTAATAAGTCCCTGGATGCTCTCTCTTTCAAGGCACGACCATGGAAACTATTCCACCATGTCAATAATGTCACCCGAGGTCTCGGAGCCAAGTAAAGCAGAAGCACGTCTGTGAGGCAGATGCAATATTCACACACTCACATACAGCTGCACGTCAAGCATTACGTCAAGTGTGTTTAATGAACTAAATCGTTTGCATATGCATCCTGGCAGTGCCTGGCGGGGCGATAAATCACTGGGTCACTGGAGGGAACTGCAGGTCTGATAAAAATGCCAGGATTATTGTTGTTTAATGAGTTTTGTAATTATGTAGTACCATCTCTTACCATCTGTGTGTGTGTATATACAGTATATA